GTCGCTTCTGCCTCCGCATCTCCCGCGGGCCGGCCGGCAGGCGCTGACCCCGCTGGCCGCACCTGCCCGGCGGTGGGGAATCCCAGGGCTGCTCCGCTCACCTGGCGGAAGTGGCCGCCCGGGAACCGGTGAGGCCGGTGGGGCCGAGCAGGAGGGCAGGGAGGGGCGGGGGAGTGGCCGCTGTCCGCCGGCCACGGGTCAGCGACACGCAGTGACCAGAGGAAGCTCCGTGACGGCCCCTGGGACCCCAGCAGGTGTGGGCGGCCAGGGCTGGGCGGGGGGCTGGGCACGGGTGCCGCAGGGTTGGGGCGCGGGGCTGGCCCGCGGGGGGGGGGGGCGCCAGCTCCCACTGCCTGACCCTTGGTTGGGCTGCTGGGTGGGGTCCCCCTGTGTCCTGTAGAGGGCGCTGACCTCTGCTGAAGACTGAGGCGGCAGGTTGGGCCTGTCACCATTGTCCGGGCATCGCCTGAGCGCCCCCCACTGCTTGGGGGCTCTGCTGTGGGGCACCCTCTGCCCCAGACACCCCAAGGCGCCCCAGGACACTGGTATCCATGGGGCCCGCCAGGGCTCTGCCCCGTCAACTCCTGGGCTGGGCCGATGTCAGGGATGGGGTCTCCCCGCCCCACAGCCCCGGGGACAGTGGGGTCACCAGTCAGGGAGGGTCTGGGCCTGGGCCCTCCTGGCCACAGGTGGGGGCCCCCTGTGGGTGGGGGGGCATGTCCCGAGTATGGGGGGCAGCGGGGCAGGGGGTGCACCCTTGGGTGGGAGGGCGGCAGGGCAGGTCCTGGGGAGGGGTGGACAGGCCACATCTTGGGTCCGGGGGGCAGCGGGGCAGGGGTGGGTCCTGGGGGCAGCGGGGAGGACTGTCCCAGGGGCAGGGTGGGGCCCGTGGGGGGTCCCCGGGGCAGCTGCAGTGGGGCGGCCGGTGCTGGAGCTTGTGGGGGGAGGTGGGGGTGCCCCCGGGGGCAGTGGAGGGTGGTTGCTCAGGAGTGGGCGTGGGGAGAGGCGGGGGAGGGCGGGTCCTGGGGCGTCCGGGGGGGCGGCGGGGGCCCAGGCGAGCCCGGCTCGTTGCAGGCTCCCTGAGGGTGGACAGTGCCCCGGAGGACGCGCTGTGCCTGCCGCTGCTGCTGTGTGGCGGCTGGAGGACCATCCGCTGCAGCCTGGTGCCCGTGGTGCGGGTGAGGCGCAGGGTGCCCGTGCTGGAGGAGGCCGAGCGCATGCGCGGGTTCCCCGAGGGCAGCCTGCGCCGGGCGGCCCTGCAGGAGGTGGCCCTGGTGCCCGCCAGCGCCCAGCACTGGAGGTAGGCGGGCCGTCCGCTCCCCCTGGGGCCAGCGGGGCCTGGAGGTGGCCAGCGCACCCCTGCCCCGCCCTGGGGCCCCGGCAGGGAGGAGGGGCCCCAGGGCCCCGAGAGGGAGGGCCAGTGGCCGCATCCCTGCCTTGCCCAGCCCAGCCGGGGCCTCCTCTGGGGGAACAGCCACGATGGGGGGTGGCGGCCTGTCCCGGGCCGGGGTCCAGAGTCGCTGGGGAGACCCTGGCCCAGGGGCGTCTCCATCTGGCCAGCCCCAGATCAGCGCTGACCTGGCCCCTGGGCCCCTGTGCTCTGTCCAGTCTGGGAGTTGTCTGAGGGGATGGGAGACCCGCTGGCCCCTGCAGGGAGGGCAGGTGGCGATGGGGGGCTGGGCCCTGGGACCGCCCCTCGGGCTCCGCTGGACAGTGACAGCAGAAGGTGTCATGGGGGTTTGCTGGTGGCGACCTATAGCCTGGAGGAGCTGCAAGAGTCCTCTGTGGTCTGTGCCCCCCCATGGGGTCTGTGCCCACCCCAGGGGTCAGCGGAGCTGTGTCCCCCACCCCAGGTCACCAGGGACCACAAGCCCCCAAGGGCACCCCTTTTGGGCCATGTTGTGCACGGTGGGCACTTTGTCCAGTCCACAGGATGGCCACCCAGCTTCAGGGGAAGGGTGGTCTGGCTGGGTCTGGCCTGGAGCGGGGCCTTCGCGTGCAGCCCCACAGGCTGGGCAGACTCACCGCCCGGGAGCGGCAGGGCCCGGCCCGTGCTCTCAGGCCGCGCAGCGGGCCAGCGGCCGCCCTCCTGGACCCGGCGGGCCGCTGTGTGTCCCCAGGCTGTCCTCGGACGCGCTGCTCGCGGGGCTTGTGGACGCACTGGGCTCCCTCCCCGGCCACCGCCTGGACGGGCTCGCCATCCTGGACCGGGTCAACCACGAGAACTGGCGCCGAGGCGGCCAGGACCCTGGCCTGACCTTCGGCCACCTGCAGGTATGGCAGGAGGCCCCGCGCTGTGGGCAGGCGGGCCGGTGCCCCTTGGCCCCGGATGATGGCGGCCTGGGTGGGCTCTGATGGGGCTCCTGGCTGCCAGGGGCGAGGCCCTGGGGACCCCCCGTGGGTACAGCCGGAGCTGGCGCCCCTCTTTGCTGCCCTCTGGGCCCAGGGTGCTGGGGAGAGCAGAAGGACTCTGACCCCCAAGCAGGTGGGAGCGAGTGGGGGCTGCAGAGTGGGCGGGGGCTTGGCGGGCCAGTGGGCTGGGGCAGGGCTCAGGAGGAGGGACACGGGGAGGGGCTGGGAGGAGCCAGGCCAGGCCCCTGCGTGGCTCTGAACC